GCAAGACTTTCATAATAATATTTTTGTTTTAGAAAGATTAGGGCAAAAGAATGGGAAATGGGTGGGAGAAAGTGAGATTAGAGGCTGGGAGATCTGGCTGGAAGCTATCACAGTAATCCAAGCAAGAAATGATATAGACTGGATTGGAGGAATGAGAATGGAAAAATTGGATGGATTTGAGCTTGATTTAAAGACAAATGAAAAAGACTTGATGATGGGCTGGAGGTGATAGTGAAGAAGGGAAGAACAACTACATTTTCTGGCTTCAGTAACTGAGTACCTGGTGGTGCCTTTTGCTGTGATGGGGAGACACATGTAGGACTTGGGAGCAAATATGTATGAAGGGGGTTGATGATGGAGTTGTGAGCAAGGCATGTTTGTGGTGCTGGTAAAAATCCAAGTAGAGATATCCAGCAAGAAATGGACAATGCTGACCTGAAGTTAAGAATGTAGGTCAAGGGCTGGGGTTGTGGCTCAGTGGCAGAGCACTTGTCTAGCATGTGTGAAGCCCTGGGTTCAATCCTCAGCAAGGCATAAAAATAAATAAATACAATAAAGATTTGTGTCCAATTAAAAAATAAATACATAAAAAAAGAACATAGGTCAAGCTAAAGCTTGAGATTCAGGAAACCACCCTATGACTGGCCAACAGTAAGTACTGGGATGAGGACAGACCCCTGGGGGATCCCAATCAAAGTATGAAAAGAATTAAAAAAACATTATTATGAAATCCAAGGGAACAGAGAGTTTCAGGAGAGAAGGAGGTGTCATGTGCAGCAGGAAGCTCAAGGAAGACAGAAGACAGAATGAAAATGTCCACTGGGTTTGGTAACAAGTTGTTTAATGGTGACCAGTGTCAAAATTGAGGAAAACTTACAGAGAGATGAGCAGTACATGGGCAATGAAGGCATCAAGCTCGTTTTCAGGCAATTGTAGAAATGCCTAGGCACTAGAGAAGGTCTTGGGCAACATGAGTTTTAGCTTTGAAGAAGTAGAGAATAAGGACATATGTGTGTGTCATAAAGTTATTGGTCAGGGCAGGAGGGTGAGTGTGACTGAGTGTGTGTGTGGGGGGGGGCGTACGGGACAAACAGGGAGGAGGAAAAGGTGTACTCAGCAATTGCTTAATTCAGGAGAAAATGAAAAGACCTCTTGGTATCCATGGCATCAGTCAGTAATATAAGGAACTCCAGCTGTTTTCAGGAGGAGAACAAACTGAAGAACTAGTGGTTAGTTCAACTGGGCTCTGGAATTCATGGGAAGCACATTTTGTGGTAGAGAAGTGGGAGGCTGCAGGCAAAAGATAAGGAATTAAGAAACTTGGCCTTAATTTCACATGAAATTCTAGTCTCATATGCTCTCAAGCAAGGACATGGATTCTCAAGCCACGGAATGGGACAAATAGTCCTTATCTAATGGAGAATATAATATTCCCTATTTTTTAAAATTCTAGCACTGCTAGATTATGTGTGTAAATGCTACTTCAGATGCTCTGGATAATGAAGAGTTTACCATGTTGTATAAAAAAACAAAACAGAACACTGCTAAAACAGAAAAAAACTGAATATTGAGGAAAACTGGGTTCAGAACAAAAGATACATCCTTCCTTCCTCCCTTCCTCAACTTCAGAGAAACACACACTGATGGAGTGTAATGCAGAGATAGCTTTCAGATCCAGTAGGTGAAAAAGGGAAGAATTACAATGTCAACCTAAAATGTTCTGTTCGATCAAAGAACAGGGAAGAAATACCAGACAAGAGAGCAGCTCAAAAGAATGATTCTTTCAGATAAAACCTATGTCCACGAAAGAAAGAAAACTGAAAGTCAAATATTAAATCCAAATCTAAATGTCCAAGAGAGAAAACCCTTTATTTAACCCTAGGAGGTATATCATCTTTTAAAGTTGCCATTCTTTTAAAGTAAGCTAAATAAGATTTAACTAACAGTCTGGTGACCTTGGGCAAGTTACTTATCCATTTATTTGTTGCATATAGATACTATATAGCCCCTGAAAGGTGCACTGTGAGGCTTTGGAAAGTGAAAACTATTGTACCAACATCAGGCAAGAGCTTTACCAGGCAGGGCATACCTTGGAGAAATCAGTTTGAGAAAGATTCAATCTAAATGGTTTGAATTGCAGTTTGCTGGAGTGCTAGGTGTTGTATAAATGTCCCAGTCAGTTCAACAGGACTTTGGCAAAGGAAAAGTACATACTTCCCAGCAAGTTTTGTGCTTGATGTCTCCCTAAGGCAGGAGACAGGCCTGCCAAAGGCTTCAGCATTGCTCAGGAGTGACCCAACCTTTTGTTCCTCTCCCAGCTCGAGAAGAACAGCTTGAAATCCAAATGGGGCCCTCTGTTCAGCTAAGGAAAACAGTCTCAAATCTTTCTGACAACTGCACAAAGGGGTACAGAGGGGCAGTTCTGCAGGGTCAATAGTGCTGTGGCTAGTTTAAACACTACCAATTGGCCCTGGGAACGTAGGAGGGAAAGGAAGATGACTAAATGGGATCTGGCATCACGCAACATGTTCACATTTTGCCTCATGAACACCAGCCCCCTTATCTATTTGGGAAACAAGACAGATATTCTTGCTCTTGATTCATAAAATACAAATTGGTGTGGTTTGATAACCTTGACAAATGTTCTCAGAAACTTCAGACTTCACAAATAAACTTTTAGGAACATGTTTAATCGCATAGAGGTTGTCTTTTAAATTCTAAAGGAAAACATTCTGAACAGGAATCTTCCATTTTCCTCCACCTCCTACCCCTTCAGCCACTTATCTGTTTCCAAAAGAGAAGCTAGACTTGGGCTCCAGATGTTTGGAACCCAATTGGGGGCTCTTCATGGAGTAAATCTAGTGCTCTCCATCGTCAAAAATCCAAATCGCAGCCTGGGGTTAAACAATGAGGTCATTATAAGACACATTTGCCTGATGTAGTACTGATCTGTGGTTCAGATATAGATTTTCTATTTTTAATGGACCCCCAATTCAAAGAACAGTTCAGAGCTTTTTCTGAGTTTCCTGGTTGTTGGGTCTGATTAGCCATCTCTCTTGCCATAAGACATCAGGAAATGTTCCTTTGTGTCAAACCTCAAATTGCATCTGCTTCCAATTGGATCATTTTTATTTGCTCTATCTTTGCAGAGCTAAAGCCAAAAGGAATCTTCATGTAGGACAGTAGTTAAAGGATTTGTTCAGTGAATTCACAGAAGAAATACCCACTTCCAATGAAGACGTGAAAAGATGCTTAAACTTACGTATAGTCAGGGAATGGGATGATTTTCATTCACCATATTTGCAAAATAGCAAGTGTTGGCAAGGGTAAAGAAACATGGGCACTCATTTACAATGCTAATGGGTATATGAATTGGAACATACTTTGTGGGGCTATTTGCCGGTAGCTTCGAAAGTTAAAAATGCTTGTTTTATTATTCTGATCCTTATTATCAACTCAGAGATGAGTGTAAGAAGTCCTGTTCAAATATTTCCACTATAACATTGACATTTTATAAAATAATAAAAATTCAGGAACAACTTGAGTGCCTAGTAAAAGGGGGATGGCTGAATTAAACTATGGGATAGAAGAAAAGATTTTAAAGACATAGTAAGTGGGAAAAAAGGCCCAGAACACACACACACACACACACACACAAACACACAACTCACATGATTCTATTTTGGAAATAAAACCATATAAATACCTTCATTTTCTGGTTTTATTTCCAAAGTAGAATAATAAATGACATTATATAAATGATATATGGCATTTCACTTTGTACTGCTTACATGCTAAGAATGCATTTGTAAGTAGAACAAATAAAAATAAGAATAAAAAAGAATGCATTTGTATATTTACTGCATTTGTATATTTATTTATTTTTCCTGGTTGTAGATCAGAGTCAAAGGCATGAGCCTTGGTGGCTACAGTGAACATTGCTTCCCTTGGGGGAAGTAGTGGATAAGTGAGTGAAGTAAACAGGTGAGAAATCAAAGGACCCAGGTCATAGCCAGGAATCTGTAATCAATTTGCTTTGTGACCCCAGGAGTTCATTTTCCTTCTGAGTCTTTTCTCTGTAAATCAGTGGCAAGATAAGAAGCTCACTAAGATGCCTTCCCTTTTTGATATTTTATGATTCTCTAAGTCTGTGTCTTTAATGTATAATAGGTCTGATCCTTTTTGATGAAGAGGTGGCTTTTTATTCTCTTCCTTCAAATTCTGGCATAGTTTGACATTTCACTTTACTGCAAATGGAAGATAATGAAAGAGAAGGTGGAGCATTCACCGTGTTCCCTGTTTGGCTATGTTTTTGAAAGTTCGGTTGACCTATTTATGCTACTACCTTCCTTTGACAGTGGAAGCTCTTTGGCTTTTTTGAGTGTGATGAGAGTGCAAACACAATTCTGAAAGTTGAAAGATATGAATTCTACAGGGTGATCATAAATTATGAATATGCATACATATGTTTAATATATTGGACTGCCTTGAATACTTTTTCTATGTTATACTAAAGGATACAACTTCATTCAGTGAAAATCAGAGATGTAATTCATTGGAGGGGGCTGAGAATTTACAGGAATTGATGTAAATGTTGTGTCAACATATTGTGTTTGTTGCAAATTGGACCACCTGTTGCCCAGAGCAGTAGGGAAAAACCAAGTGGATATAAATGAGTTATGAAAATTTGTACATATCTACAAACATTATCACAATCTGCTTGTGCACAGTCTAATTGACACTTGGAAATACTCTGATGAAACTGGGGAAATCTTGGCATTAAGTCAATGAAGGAAGACTACTCTTGGTCCCTCAGAGACTTTGACTGATTTTGTTCTATCTGTCATTAGTTAGCAAAACTCCTTCCAGCTGACCCTCCTCATTTTGCTTGTTCCATGAGGTCAGAAGAGTAAATTCTAAGCAATTTAATTCTAAAGAAAACAGAAAGCAGCTCCCCCCCCATGACTATTTGTCTTTCAACAATGCCATCAGTGACTTACTCTCGCTCCCTTCTCAGGAGAACATTTACAGGTCCCACTGCAGTCTTGGCCCCCGCATGGCTTTCCATAGGAGTTCTTCTCTCCCTGTTTAAAAAAGAAAAAAAGTTACTATAGCATGTGAACCAAGAAAGAATTGCCCCAGGGAACTTAACCCTTAGCTACACTCCTCCTAACAAAGTAAATTTGAAGTTGACTAATGATTTCATCTTCTGGTGTCATTATTTGAAAGAAAAACTCATCTTAAACTAGTATCCCCTTAGGTCAGGTCTATATCTCACCAAATTGCCAGTTTGGTAGCTGCTTTGTGAACTGTGATTCAGACATTGCCTTGTTGGTAGAAATTCTAGTCACAAAATACAAGAGAATCTTTTTACACAGGGCTGGTGTGAAAACAGGTGTACAGTAACTTATGGGTTTGTATTCACTGAGGGAACAGTAGCTGTAGGAGAGAACCTAGGAAAAATTCAAGTGCTAGACATGTAGTGAAGATGAAAATGGCCACCTTGCACTCTGTTCTCATCTTCTCAGGCTCCATTTGTGCACACCATTCAAACTGTATAGTGGCATCCCATCCCCAATGAGTCAAATTCAAACTCTTCAGGTGATATCATATAGTATCACCCAAACTCTCCAACTTCATTTTCCCCCTCTTCTGCTTGATGATGATGATGATGATGATGATGATGATTAGCTGAATTTCTACAAGGCCATAACATGATCTGACATATACTCTGACTTTGTCCAGCCTCACTGCCTCATTCTCTCCCTGGCTCACTCAAGCTTCAACCGCTTCAGTGAGCATTCATTCAGTGAGCATTTTAAAATATCAAGCCTGTTCTTGCCACAGGACATCTGTACTAGCTGTTACTACTTCCTGGAATATTTTCCCTTTGATTTATTTTTAAATTGGTGGCCTCTTTTCATCATCCATGTCTCAGTTCAATGGTCCATTCTCAGAGAAGCCATTCCTGACCACTCAGCTTCAGGAAGTCCCCATTGCTTCCAATCATATCCCTTGTTACTTTTTCATCATTAGATATTTAGTCCTGGACCACTAGAATGCTAACTCCATTAAAGTAGGACTTTTATCTGTCTTGTCCAATATTGTATCCCCAATGCCTACAACAGTGGATGTTACTCAAGTAAAGTTTGATGATCACAGAAGTAGAGCTATGATTTGAACATAGGTTTGACTGACTCCAAAGTCTTGAACTTCACCTCTATTTTTTAGTGTTTTCTAAGACCTCTCTATACCAGAGCCTCAATACAAGACTCCAAACTGAGGGAAACTGCCATTCTGACCCTATCCACCTTGGGAAAAAAAGAAAAACATAAATTCTAACTAATATCTATAACAAGAACTTTATCTCTGGGATGGATTTAGTATCATCCAACTTTTTTGTTTAATGTTGGTCATTTTTTTTTCCAACGAGAAAGGCATATTTATGAGCCAGGCTCACACTTAATCATTCTTGCCTCTGTGTACTGTGTGCTTTTTCCTGATTCCAAGGGATCACTGTGAATTTCTCAGATGGTCTCTTATCTCTTTAGACATTCCCACAATACTTTATCACCACAGCACTTCAGTAATAAGGTAGTGATGGCAGAGCTATGACAAAATATTGCTATTTTAGATTCCAAACACCTTCCTGATATGAGATATTTTATCTCTCTTCTATGCCTTTGACATGCTAAGTGCTATTGTACACTTTCCAGTTTGCCCTCCATTTTACAGTATATAGGATGAGCAAGTTTTTCATAAGGGTGACATCAAGAGGTGCTCTGGGAGGAGGAAGCTGGGAGCTGGCATAGAATAAAGAACAGAAAGAGCAACATTGAAATTAACCTTCATGTTTGCCATCACTTTGTCTGATGTTGAGTACTATATTGCTTGGGATTATGGATCATTTGCAATGGCTTCTCCATACATATTTGTATTTTCCAAGCAGTCTTCAATGAATGAGTGTATTAGAGGAAAATAGAGACATGTTATTAAATGATAAAAGACACCCCTTTAACAGAGAGGACTCAACAGGTGTTGCAAAATTTGAACTGGCATCTGTTTGTATGCATGGCCTACTTCCAAATAGTGTCTCTGTGGGTATTCAATAAAATTGGCATATAAAAAAAGAATAAGCAAGATTATAGAGGATCAGTTTCGTCTATCATAGAATAAAAGTTTCCAGATCTTTAGTATGGAGGAAGAAGACTGGAGGCAAGGGGGTTGGATAAGAAAAGAAAAATAATCCCAATGTCAAGAGCTGAGCAAAAACATAGGGAATTTCTGCTAGAGGTGTTTCAGGAATTCACCAGAACACAGAGGCTGACACCTTCCTCCTAACAGACAGGAAGTTGTTACTGTCCTCTGTCACTTAAGAAAGTAACTAGAGAAGCCCTACTGGCCACAAGGCAATTTCCTGTGATGATAGCCCTGGCAGTTTCCCCAGGAGTGTTCAATTACAGTGAGGTGGGTGGGGTAGAGTAGTTTTCAGGGAACATGACCAGACCAGGCCTCCTGCTCTGTCCTGACTTGCCTGGGGACACTCCAACCCCTGCTTAAGCAGGCCATGGTGCTGGAGTCATTCCCACCTTAAAATGCTATCCCCTTCCTTTCAAAATCCAACTGTCCTTATACCCATAGAAAATCAAAACTGGAAAGGCCTTGGAAGATCACTTAATACAGTGGTTCTTAACTCTATCAGACCAGCATGTCATTTTTATTACAATCATTTATTAATCTGCCTTGTCATCCTAAAAAGAAATTCATAAGAAGGTATAATAAAGATGCAAGCAATAATTTTAAAAGCACACAATATTACCTAATTATATTGTAAAGAAAAACAAAAGGAAAATTATTTATAATGAAACAATATGTATTTCAATATTTAAAAGCTCATCCATGGCTATATGAGAAAACATAATGAAGTAGTGAGAGGTTAGCATTTCTACACAGAATCATCATGAAAGCCACAGCCTGCTGAAACAGAATAAATGACATTGGGTTGTGGTATTGGTGATTCAAGTATCAGGAATGCAGTTAGATTGGTGCAGTGATTCTGTGAAATGTGAATAACTCATGGTCATGTTCTGGAAGAAAATTACAGTCTTCCCTTTATTTTACTAGGTTGTTTTAATCAGGAAAAATAAAACCATTAAAAATTCACTTCAATATGTAAAATGTAATCACGTTCTAGACTCAGACAATTATAAAGTTTTCACCTCTATGAATGTCTCGAGTCTACTAGGGTAGGATGAAGTTCAATACTTTGTAGTGTATAGAATATCTATCATTTAAGGCCCCCACTTATTAAATGCCTCTCTTGCATTTGAACAACCAAATATGTCTCATAATTTCCAAAATACCTCCTGAGGGCAGTGTACTTCTATTTAGAACCACTGTTCTACTCCAAATCATCCATTTTACAGATGAGAACAATGAAGGAAATTACTTTAGTCTGGATCACACTGCTAGCGAGTAGACCCCAGCACTTCTGAGTCTAATGATATATTCTTTCCACTGGTCCATATGTCTCTATTCCAGGTTCAAGGTCCATTTCTGTCATGACCTCACCAGCTCCAGTGAAAATCCACAGCACTCATTAAATGTCCCATTCAATGGGTAAACATCCCATTTTCTAAGGGACAGTCTTTGTACAGCTGAGAGTCTTGTTTCCTCATCCAGACAGCATGGTCTATAATGGAAAGTCAACCTACTTTATCTCTTCGTATATCCCCACATTGTTAAAGAGGCAAAACTATGTTCTAGCTACTACTTGAGGCAGTATACCTTGGTTAAAATTATAAGTTCTGGAGCCAGCCTATACAGGTTTAGGTTTAAATAGCAACTCTTAATATTTCCTATTGTGTGAACTTAGGCAAGTGTCTTACCTCTCTGAAACCCAATTTTTCCCATATGTAAAATGAGATGCCAAGAATATTTGTAGTATTGGGTTTGACTGGAAGATACAAGGAATGCAAAGCATTGTGGTAACTCACTATATGCACTAAATGTATTACTTTAACATGCCAGACAACTCAGCATTTCTGCAACATTCTGGTCTCTCTCTGCAGCCAATTATCAAATGGTATGAACTGTTATTGCTGTGCCAGTTTGTCTATAACTGATGTCTACTCTGCTTGGTCAGAATGTCCACTTGGATTTACTTTTGTCTATACCTTATTGCCAAACTTCTGTGAGAGGTGACCAGGGATAGGACCCAGGGATGCTCTACCACTGAGCTATAGCCCCAGCCCTTTATAATTTTTAAATTTTGAGACAGGGTCTTGCTAAATTGCAGGAGCTGTCCTCAAACTTGTGATTCTTCTGCCTCAGTCTCCTGAGTTGCTGGGATTATGGGTGTGTACCACTGTGCCCAGACTGATTGCTAATTTTTGTTTTTAGATAGGGTATCTCTAAGTTGCTTTAGGGCCTCACTAGACTGCTGAATTTGGTTTTGAACTTGCAATCCCCCTGCCTTAGCCTCCCAAGTTGCTGGGATTATAGGCATGTACCACAGTGCCTGGGCCCCAACTGTCAATTTTTTTTAAATATATTTTTAGTCATAGTTGGACACAATACCTTTATTTTATATATTTATTTTTATGTGGTGCCAGGCCACGCACATGCTAGACAAGTGCTCTACCACTGAGCCACAATGCCAGCCAGTCAAAAATTTTTAATGTCACTTTTATCTCACACACTTATTTCCTTGCTGATTTTTTTTTTGGCCAAAATGCCTTCCTACCTGATTTTCCCATTTACCATAAACCAAATTTCTATTCATTTTTCAAAACCCCGGCAGAAACACCCTTTTCTTGGCAGAGATGTCCCCAAGTTCTGCCTTCCTCTCAGCAATTTCAGGCAGAAGTTCTTGTTCTCTCCTCTTTGCTGATAATGATTTGTTATACTTTACTCAATCTATTTGGTTCTTCCATCAGACTTGGATCAGGACTGTGACTTACTCTTCTCTACCTGACACAAGCAGGTAATGGAATGTGAAATAATTGCTCAGAATAAGTCAGTTACAAGTGTTAGATTAGCAAAAGCTATGATTCTTCCTGTCCCCTTAGTTTCCTGAAATAAA